TCTAGCCTGTTTTCAGTTAATGGACGGAACATTGAAGGGCACTTCCCATCCAATATATCGCAATAAGCATTGTGCCTTGGTACTTTTAATATGAAACAAAGTCTCAGATTTCAAATTCTGTCCATTGTATTGCAGGATTTAAACAATTAACGCCGTTTTGGTGCTGTTTAATGTGGAGTGACAGATCGCTGTAGCGCCTCAGTGAACTGATCATCTCCTCCGCTTTAATACTAGTTATAGCACAAAATAAACATGACTAAACATCCGAAGGTAAGTTAAAAGAAAGAGTACAACTTTACAATCCGTATCCTGTCTCATGTAATCGCTCAATCAGTATTTCAGCCGTGCAAAGACGCCAATATAACGGCTTGTACACAATATCACGTAACGTCACATTTAACTCAGAAAAAACATATTCGGTGACCATAAACTCATCAGTCAGATAGAAAAATAAACTGTAGAGAGGGGCATTTTGCTAAATATATGCACCATATAACATATTCATTATAATTTTTACTGTTCTTCAATGTTTAAGTTATGTTTGAATAAATCCATCATGTTTTTATGACAGCCACTATTATGTTTATATTTAAAAAACGAACTGAAGTAGAAATATTATTATGTAACTGTAACTTTATTATTGTAAAAACTTCAATATTATAGCAATGTAGTACCAACTGACTCTCATGTATATTATACAGCATTAGTTGAGAGATTTTTTTTCCTTGAGAAAATTTGGCATGTACTGTACCTGATATATATCCAAAATAATCGACACTGAATCGAATCGGTAATCGAATCGAATCGCAAGCTTGTGAATGAGAAACCCAGCCCTAATTATTAGTGAACACACAGCAAGTCTAAACCGCGCAATCCTCCTCACCATGGGAGCAACACAGAAGTGTGTGTCCGCATCGGCGACTTCAATCTCATAGACCTTCTGCAGAGATTCCCGCTCAAAGAACAGCAGCTTCCCGTTGCCTTCGCCCTTCTTGACCGAGGTTCCCGTCAGCAGCAGCTTATCATCCGGACTGAAGCAGCAGTCTGTCCTGTTCATCAGCACAGTTAAAGAAGAGAAGCCTTACAATACACTTCATCATCTGCTGTGCTTCATGAACACGAGTAAACAGAGCTCGAACACAACACTTACAGGTTCCCACCAGTGCTGTTAGAGTTAACTAAAACTAAAACAACAACAAACAAATAATAATAATTTCTGCTAATTTAAATAAAGCTGAAATATATAAAAATATTAGATGAAAAACAAACAAAAACAGCAGACATAAAAACTAGAAATGTTGCCTAAATGAAAAACTGCTAAATACGTTGAAGTACTAAAATCCCTAAAAGTAACAAAAGTTAAAAAAGCAATAGAAAGAGAGAGAATACTTTAAAATATATATATTGGCCGATTAAATTTCCATGACATCTCCAGGCCCGTTAACTATACTTTTAGTTTATATAACTTTCACAATAATGCCGTAAAACACCATTAACACCCAAGTCCTGTCCAACATCACATTACAATTGCATTAAACTGCTAATGGGTTAATTTGATAAGTATTCATGATTATTCATGAAGTGCATTATAATGCATCATTATTACATTTTTTTTTTTTTTAAAAAACATCAATATATTGTTCAAATTTAGAGTGGAGGTGTATATTTAAGGTGTCATAACTGGTTTCCTTTTTTTTCACTAGTTGTATTATTGTACTCATTTTAAATGATCCTGAAAGTGTGAAAAATTATTTTCATAAATGTACGAATATTCCTCTCAGTCTCTCAAATAATATGAGCTCATTATAGCTGTTTGTATATTTATTATAAAATTAATATTGAATTACTATTGTTATTTAATATTATTACTACTACTACTAATACTACATGATTAATTTGTATTTATTGTTCATTATTATTCATAAATAATTTATTTTATAATTAATATGCTGAATGCAAATAAATTAAAAAAACGCAGTTTTTGCAAATTTAGCATGTCACATAAGGTATGAAAAATGATTTTATAAATGTACTAGTATTCCATGCAGTCTCTCAAATAATAAGAGCTCAATAAAGTTGTTTGCATATTCATTATAAATTGAATATTTAATTATTATTATTACTATTATCACTTAATTCATTTTTATTTATTATTAATTATTATAAATAATTTATTTCAATTTTTGCATGTCACACCACAGTACATATAAAGATATATATATACACACACACATATGTGACCCTGCAGCACAAAAGCAGTCTTAAGTCGCTGGGGTATATTTGTAGTAATAGCCAACAATACAT